TTTATTTAACAATAAAAATATTAACTAAAAAAAAACCCTCTACCGGGGACTATCACTCAGTGGAAGTGTATGGAAAAAGTTAGGCATAGTTTACAATAAACACTTTATGTACCATAAAAAATAAAGACAAAATGGAATTATTAAATGTCTACTCACCAAAACAAATATCACAAATAAAATCGTTGTAACAATCTTTGGGTATAATTGAACTATCGCAAGTAAAACAAACAAAATTTTTACACGCAATACATTTTTTCATCAATTGCAATGATGTTCGTATTTTACATTTATGACACTCAGAGTGACGGCTGACGACATTTCTAATAGACTTTCTCTGATTTTTTTGAAAAATATTTTCTTTTTCAGTATTTAATTTAGGTATCTTTTGTGATTTTATTTCCCACTTTTCTTCTTGAATGCAATTTCGCTTTCTTTTGGTTATTTTATGTTTGCTGTCTTCGACATTGACGTCTGTCTCGCCCAAAACTTCTAGATTATCACACAATTCTTCAAAATTATTAAAATCAAATAACAAATCTTTATCTAAAGGAATTATAATTGAATCAAATGCCGCACCACTGATCTCGTATTCTTTGTCTTGTTCTTCTTTTTGTTCCGATTCTATTATCTCACCACTGACTTCTTTGTCTATTTTTTCTTTATCCTCTTCTCTACATTTAAATGTCGCAGAATAAATTTCTTCTACTCTCTCTTGTTTTTTCTTTTCCTGTCCTTTGTTGCAAACTATTTCTACTTTTATAATGTCTTCTTCTTCCTCAAAATTTGTAGGAATATTATGTGTTTGTTTGGACGAGACAGATACAACTTTTTTTGAACTAGGGATTGGCATTGCATGAATTTCAGCTGTTATTGTAACTTTACTAGTTAGATTAGAGCAACTCAGTTCAGTTTCTTGGATTGGTTTTTCGTAGGTATGAGTAAATAAGCCAAAGCAATCACACAAACCTCTGTTGGTGCCACAAAAACAAGATAGTGGGCGATATTGAATTTCGCCAGGTGATTTAGCAATAACTGTCTGTGTCTGCATAGTGCCTGGTAAAGGCTTCAAGTCTTCAGGAACCAGTTTATTTATGTTGTCTATATCATTGTCAATTATATAAAGACATTTCACTGACTTCATGCATTTTGACAATATCTTCACCGCTTGCTCACTACAGGAAACATCATTACCGTAAGCTACCTGTTTGTCCAGAGACCTCTTTACTGCACCACCTATTCCATCTGCCACTGATTTTCCATGTCCGCTCTCGGTGAATGACCATGTTGAGAACTCAAGGCCTAATTTGAAGGTAAATAAATTGTGTAAAAAAAAATTTTTCTTTTGCCGGTACTGAGTACACGGACCGTCTGAGTAAAAGTGAACAACCTTAAGTAAAGGATTGTACTCTTTGGCTAACTTTATGACTGGCAAAATGTGAGCCCATATAGCTGCTGGATCATGGGCATTTTTATCAGCAATACTGCAGAATGATTGTGAACCTCCAGCCCAGTAAACCATCCCTGTATGTAGGGTAAATTGTTGTTTCGCGGCACCAAAATGCATAGATTGTACTTCCTCGGCTAGTTTACCATAGTAATTTTCTGAGAAGTCACAGAGTAGAGCGGCTTCATTTTCTTTGAGTTCGGTTATACACTTTCGGTATTCGTGTTGCTGATGTTTCCAATTGTAATAATGTTTTTTGAATAGCGGTATATTACTTTTAAAATTCTGAATTAATGTTTCCACGGTCCCTGTTTTTCTTACTTTCGCCATTCGCTTTGTTTTTACAGTTTTATTATTGTCCCTTTTAGTGTCTATGTATTCATGATTTATGTTCTCCCACTGTTCCCATTCCATTTCATCAGTTATCTGTCCGTCTCTTAAATCATACTCCAATTCTTGTCCTTTACATGGATCACATTCACCATACATACATTTTTTTGATTTAATATCACACGTGAAATGAGCAAAAAGATTTTCTAGTACTTTATATTTTGACAAAACTCCAAGTTTTTGTAGTGCAGAGAACATTTTTTCAAAATTGCTATGTTTGATACAGATGCAAGTATCTCTTTTCTGTACAGTAGGCGATAAAACATAAAAAGGTCGATATTTATAAAACGTGGCATACGATTTTGTTCCGCCCTCTGCTCGATAAATCTGATACAGATTAAATAGGGTATCGGTAAGATATCTAATCTGTTCTTTTTGTTTTTTCAATGTGCGGCACTCTTTTTTCCCAGACGTACTTTTGCTTATATCATCTCTCAAGAAAAAACTTCGTATTTCTTTACATATTTCATTTTCCTTTGTTATTTTAGCTGTTTTTCGTGCTATTCCCTTTAAACCTAATAGTTTAGAAACAAATGTCTTCTTTTTTAATTTCTTTGTGGCTTCATTTTCAGTTAAAGTTTTAAAAACATTCCTTTCTTCGTATTTCTTACACTTTTTGTATGACGTTTTCAAACAACTCTCTAACAGCTCATCTCTAGCTTTCATTTTACTAATAGTTTCTTCAAGAGTTTGAACTTTTTTATTAGTTTCTTTTTTATAACGATATAGGCGTTTTCTTGACGTCTCAAGTGCTGTTTTCAAATTTTGAATTTTTATTATGGCGGCATTATATTTACGGGCTAATCTATTTCTTAACGCCTTCTTCTTATTTCGAGTATTCACAGTAGATGATATAATATTTTGTTCATTTTTACTCTGAGTTTTATTTTTCTTCTGCTTCCGTTTCTGCTCTCTCCATTTTTTCCGCCTTTTTTCTTTCTCGTATTCGGTTAGTTCAAATATCTTCTTAGTTTTATTTTTTACTCGTGCTGCATGTTTTTTTTTTACTTCTTCGTATTTTTGTGGATCTGCTTTCAACTTCTCTCTATATTTTTTCATGCGTTCCGCAGGAGTGAGAGCCATTTTGACACCTAATAAACCAATATAAATGATTAAATCCTACTGATATAATAAATGCGAAAGTATGGATGTTTGTTTGTTACTCAATCGTTCTGAAACGTTTGAAAGGCAACAGGCAAAGTCGCAGTTCGCCGCTTGTTTAATTTCAATTCAAATTACTGTCTAGCGATCGCCTGCCGATCGATGTCAATTAAAGTATGTACATAATACAAAAATTAAATTACGGATATCGTTAAAATTATACTTAATCTTTCACCATTAAAACAAACAGCAACTTCGCGTGTGTAGAAACAATTTAATAAAAAAACATATAGCTTGAAACCTCGGCTGGTGGTTTTACTAGGTACTTAATAAAACTCCGTGTATATGTGGGTTTACGTTCCACTGAGTTACGAAAACTTATCCACTGAGTGAATGTTTCTCAGCTGACGTAACGGATTTTAAGTTAAGGTTGATTTTTATTAAAATATTCGTCAAAAGACACGTCTAATTCAGTCAAACTGTTACTTTATTATCAAATAGTAAATTATACATTTAATAAATACTCTTTAAAACAGTAAAACAAGCGTACTTACTATGAAATCTTCGTAAATCAGCTGAATTTTAAACCGCACTAACCGGTACAGTACCAAATCCTAACGATGTTACATTCGAACTGTGAACTCAAAATGGCTGACTTATTGTTAATCAACCATTGTAGGGTTGCTACTTTATGAAAATAATACTATCGTAGTAGATTTTGCTACTGTCCTGGAAATATTAGCGTAACTCAGCTGAATTTTCCACCATGCCAAACTTTTATACCAATCACTAAAATATTTATTTCATGATATTTTAAAATATTGAATTATACTTCATTAATTAAAATGGAAAGTGGGCTTGCGTTTCTTTTAATGACACCATAAATGTAAAAATATCGTGAATCTACTTAAAACAGGGAGGTAAAATGTCTGACATGAACAAGATGGGACAGTAATAAAAAATAGAAATTGCCAATCCAATTTTAATTTTTTGCTTATAATTTATGGTAAAATTATAATATAAACGGTAATTTAGAATGCCTAATATTCCAATTTCTTTAAGAAATAAGACTTAACTAGAGAGCGGGCTTCATTTTTAGGTAGGAAAAAATTAACCACAGTGGACAACGTGATATTGCCCACTACAAACAAATAAAATAATGCCCTTAACGTGATAACTTCATCGTCACTTTGTATATAGGAGTTTTGACGGGAACTTAACCGGCGACGGATCGCTGCTCCTGTATTATTGTTTAAATAATGGTTTGAAGTGGATTTTGATATGTAAAAGTGGTGCGATTTTGTATATTGAATGTCTACGCATGTGAACTATTAGTGGAAACGGTGAAACAAGTGCTCTGATGGTAATGTGATTCTCAAGATAAGGTGTCTGTCTCCATAGGCGCCTTGAGATACCATCGCCAACTGTCAGCTGTCTGCTGGCTAAAGTTACCGTCAAAATCTCCCAAGGGCTGCACAATGTAACGCATCAACATATTGTGAAGCAGTGTACTATGAAGTATAATTATACATTCTAACTACAGGCTCAGAAGGGCTAGAAGCCAGAGCCGTTAAGCCAGTTATTAAGAAAAAGAAGAATGTTACTGTATACAGAGAATAAAGACTGTCACTGTCACAAAACCAAAGAGTTTTGGCGGGAACTTGATCGGCGGTGGTTTGCGCTCCTGTATTATAGTTTAAATAATAGTTTGAAGTGGATTTTGATATGTAAAAATGGTGCGATTTTATGTATTAACTATCTACGCATGTGAACTATTAGCGGAAACGGTGAAACAAGTGCTCTGATGGTGATGGATTCTCAAGATAAGCTGTTTGTTTGCATAGGTGCCTTTAGATACCATCGCCAACGGTCAACTGCCTGCTGGCTCAAGTTGCCGTCAAAATCGTCCAAGGGCTGCACAATGTGACGCATCAACAGATTGTGAAGCAGTGAACCATGAAGGATAATAAGACAAGGCTGTATGGCATAGTGCCTTTGCCTGCTCTCTCGAGCGAATAATAAAAACAACAACAACAACAACACAAAACCAAAACAATTTTCTAAAATGTCTCAGAAGCGACAAAGTAAGAATAATGAATCAATAAATAACACAGACTTGAAAAGTGCTGTAAAAGAATGTGTTAGATACATTTTCTGTCGTGAAGGTAGCAAAATTCCCATCAAAAGAGCTGAAATTTTAAAGCATATACAAAGTGTTTGTGAAACACCCTCTAATCAAGTAAATAATGTGATAGTAGAAGCCAATAATGTGCTGAAGACGGTCTGTACATTCTCCTTACTTATACCTCAATTTTTAAGTTTTATTAGTGAAAAAATTTGCTAGCGCCTGATAGATTACGGCTCAACTGTTCCAACCGTTATGAGGGATATATTTTGTTTTGGTTAATATATTTAAATAGTCTTTATAGTCACACTTTGGATATGAAGTATTTACAAATGAAACTGAGGCATATTTGTATTTGTTTATTTGTTGCTAAAGTGGGAATGAAATCTTTTGTGTGAGGCTTTTGAGAAACACCTTGACGAGTTTGCTGACCACTGTGGAGGCCGGCATTGTAAATATATAAATAAACCCTTAATATAAAATTAGGAAAAATTTCTGGTAAGACTTTCCATTGACTCCCATCGAGTTGGGGGTTGATACATATTTTTACAGAAAAGTTACACTATTATAAGCACACACACAAAGTTACAACATGTGGAAGCGCGTAATTTTTGAGAAAAAAGTTATTAAAAATCAATTATTCTTGCATTGTTTATGTCTAATCCTACAATAAAACTGATGCCATTTTTATTGTTTTTGTCAGTAGGGATGTCAATTCTTTCCGAAAAAGATTTTTTATATAGATTCGAATTGTAAGCTGATGTATCGATTCCCAAAAACTCGATTTCTAAAATATCTATATTTTTTCATGTTTGCATTTATAATGTAAATATAAATCCATTTTATGAGAAAAAAATCCCCTTCATCATAAAATATAGGGGGACTGATTCAGAAGGATTTCTGTATCTATTTTGAGGCTGCTACATCTCCAGCGCTGCGGAAAGAGCAGCCTCTACACCTTAGCGTAACAAATCGCAGACATCCCTCTTCACCAGCCTCAGCCTGCTCCCCCTACGCGCCTCCGGCTCTTTAAAACCACTCTAGGGGTAGGACAGACTCGTACCAGGTGGAGTCGGGGTCAATCAATTCGGTTCTTTGACATAAGTTGAACCTAACCTATTTTATTTGTTATCTGTCCTAATTGGTACTGTTAAAATAAAACAAATTTCAATAAGAGATCATTTATTATGGTATCTTTCTTGTTTTTCATAAAATGGAATTATATTTTTATTATAGGTAAATGCAAACATAAAAAAATATAGATATTTTAGAAATCGATTTTTTGTGAATCGATACATCAGCTTACGATTTGAATCGATTTAAAAATCGACCTTTTCCGGAAAGAATCGACATCCCTACTGACGAAAATGACATTACAAAATGGCGTCAGTTTTATGGTAGGATTAGATATAAATAATGCAAGAATAATTGATTTTCAATACCTTTTTTCTCAAAAATTACACGTTTCCGCATGTTGTAACTTTGTGTGTGTGCTTATAATAGTGTAACTTTTCTGTAAAAATATCAACCCCCAACTCGACGGGAGTCAATGGAAAGCTAAGCCAGTTGTTTGATACGGTCCCAATGTTTGTGTTACTGATACAATAATCATGTTCAACCAATTCTCAGATTTTTCTTCCTCTAGTATTTGACATAAACTTGTGATTTGAGTTAATAGTACTGCATGATAATATTTTTTCAAAATGCAGGTATAGTTGTGAGGGGGCATCGATCACAAATAAAAACTAGATACTCAATGAGTGACAAAAAATGTCCTTACCAAATGAGCACCCACTTGAACATTTTGGTGCGCTTTTAATTTGTACATAGCTTTGTGAATACAACTTTAGGCAATGCGTTTAAGGTTGAATTTACATTAATGTGTATTTATTTCAACTAGAATTACATCAAAACAAATATCCATGGCTTTTTCTGCCTCTAGGACGGCGCCACTAGAAAGTGAGGTATAATATTTTATAGATTTCTTAGCAGGAAAGTTAATTTGTTCAGAAAATGTAAAAGTTATTATTTATTTTTGTACTATTAGCTATATTTTATATTAATAACATTAAAAGTAAATAAACCAAACCACTGATATTCATAAAAGTAGAAAAATAAAAAAAAGTTAAAAATGTGCAAAATATTGAAGAGCAAACCACTGACACATTGTTTTGTATATTAATATAATATTCTAGAAACTGATAAACTTTTATTAAAAAACAACTTTTCAACTAAATTACATTGTGTAACAAAAAAACCTCTAAGTGGCGCAAATATAAGTGTCTGAGAGATGATTACATATTTGTGCCATTTGCTGTAGAGACTATCGGTCCGTGGGTCCACGTGCGGTGAAGTTCTTAAAGGAACTCCATCCATGGCTAGTTGTTGCTGCTGGTGATAAGAGGGCTGGTTCTTTTCTCGCTCAAAGGTCAAATAATTCTATTTCCTGAATCTTTGTAGGCATCATAAAACATTTTCATAGAAATTAGTTTCGAAGCAAATGATTTGCAGTCCCTTCAATGTAAGGGCTGTGGGCCTATACTTTTGCAGCAACATGGCAGTTGCCATCCTAATCATCATCATAATTACAACCTTTTAAAATCCACTGCAGAACATAGGTCTCCTTATTGATTGCTTTGCAAGGGGGATATTTGCCATTGTTGCCAAACTTGGCGACTATAGATTTTTTTTAAATTTGTTAATACAAAAATATTGCTTGTAGAGAGGTGACAGAGAAAAATACACAATGAGATGGCCCGGTGTTTCCATCTGTCACCTCTTATGACACCCACAGGGAGATTTAGGGTAGTTAATATTCTTACACCGCTAGTACATAGTTGATTCTAAGGAATTGACCAAATAGTTTTAGTTGTAATAAACTCCACATCCATGCACTCTATAATATGTCCCCCGACTTAATATCATTTATAAAAATTGGTACCGCTCGAACCGGGATGGTACCACGACCTCACAGAATACCAGCGTGAAGTAGAGGTTTATCTCTGCGTTGTGCTTGGTGGCTGCAGGTGGCCAGAGGCCCAATTCCCCCCCCCCCCCCCGATCAACATGGTAGTGGAATTAAATAAAAGACTACCCCAGGAGGGTACCAGCACCCCTGGAGAATCCCTCGCTGATCATCCACGACCAAACTACTTCACTCCTGAGCGTGGGTGCTCAGGCTGCCCCGCGTATTCTGGGGGGGGGGGCAAAATTCCGCTCGCGACTAATGCTGCTCGGGGCAAGCGGAGCAATACAACCAAGGCGACCCCTGTCACGCTATCCGTGAATTTTTGCAACATCAGGGGACTTCATTCCAACCTTAACGCTGTCCATTACCATCTAGAGACGGCGAAGCCGGCCTTGCTCTTTTTAACCGAGACTCAGGTGTCCTCTCCGGCTGATACTTCATATTTCTCCTACCCGGGATACAAATTAGAACACTCCTTTGTGCCCCGGGCTGGAGTTTGTGTATACGTCAGAGAGGACATCTGTTTTCGACGCCTCGGCAGCCTTGAAGGTACAGACCTGTCCATCCTATGGCTGCGCGTAGACAGCGACGACCATCCCCGCGTCTACGGGTGCCTCTATAGGTCGCATAGCGGTAATGCCGACACAGACCGACTCATCGACCACGTCCAAATGGCTGCAGACTCCGTGCTACAACAGGTCCCATCCGCAGAGATCGTGATACTCGGTGATTTCAACGCCCACCACGCTGAATGGCTTGGTTCTCGTTTAACCGATCATGCGGGTAGATCTGTCTACGACTTTGCTTTGACATATGGTCTAACACAACTGGTTACTTCGCCTACGCGGATCCCAGATGTGGAAGACCATGTACCTTCCCTGTTGGACCTTCTGCTGACCTCTCATCCGGACGGATATCAGGTCTCCGTCGATGCCCCTCTGAGCTCTTCGGACCATTGTCTGATCCGGAGCACGGTGCCACTCACGCTCCAATCGCAATTGCGATCTACAGCTTGCCGCCGTGTTTGGCACTATAGGTCAGCTGATTGGGACGGGATGCGGTGTTTTTTTGCATCCTACCCTTGGGGGCGGGTTTGCTTCTCGCCGGAAGATCCCAGCGTTGTTGCCGATTCTGTTGCTGATGTAGTACTTCAGGGTATGGAAGTTTTTATTCCATCCTCTGTGGTGCCCATCGGAGGCAGATCCCAGTGATGGTTTGGTCGCTCCTGTAAAATAGCATCACGCTATAAGCAGGAGTGCTACCGAGCCTGGGCTGACGCATCAACGTCTCGGGATTTGAACACCAGCGCACTTAAAAAGAAGTATAATTCCGCCTCCAGGTCCTTCAAAAGCGTCATTGCCAAGGCAAGGTCTGAGCACATCGGCAGAATTGGCGAGAAGCTAGTTCGCCTTCCTTCGGGAACCCGTGCATTCTGGTCTCTCGCCAAGGCTGTCCAAGGGAACTTCTGTCAGCCATCCCTTCCATCTCTGCACAGAGAGGACGACTCACTGGCCCATGCCGCAAAAGAGAAAGCCGATCTGTTGTGCTCTCTTTTTGCGTCTAACTCGACTCTAGATGAAGGGGGGAACACACCGCCGACCATCCCGCGATGTGAGTGCTCCATGCCGGATGTGCGATTTACACAGCGCTCGGTTCGCAAAGCACTCTTCTCCCTGGACGTCAGCAAGCCGAGTGGGATCGATGGAGTCCCTTCCATTGTGCTGAAGAAGTATGCTTCCGGAGTTGGAACCGGTTTTAACGCGTCTTTTCCGTTACTCCTACTCCCAAGGCGTAGTCCCGAATTCATGGAAGACAGCTTTGGTCCACCCGATCCCTAAAAAAGGCGACCGCTCAGACCCGTCCAACTACAGGCCTATCGCCATCACCTCCTTGTTCTCCAAAATAATGGAATCCATTATAAACTGCCAGCTCATGAGGTACCTTGAGGATCACCAGCTGATCAGTGACCGTCAGTACGGTTTTCGTCGGGGTCGATCAGCAGGTGATCTTCTGGTTTACTTAACTCATAGATGGGCGGAGGCAGTAGAGTCCAAGGGGGAGGCATTGGCCGTTAGTTTGGACATAGCGAAGGCCTTCGATCGGGTCTGGCACAAGGCGCTTCTTTCGAAGCTTCCTTCCTATGGGCTTCCCGAGAAATTGTGCAAATGGATCACCAGTTTCCTTGCTGATCGGAGCATCAAGGTCGTAGTAGACGGTGCATGCTCTGATTTCAAGTTCCACAAGGCTGCGTGCTATCACTAACGCTGTTTCTCCTGCATATCAATGATATGTTGCTAACTGGTAGCATTCATTGCTATGCATACGACAGCACTGGGGATGCCTTATATACCGGCCGTGCCAATATTTCTCGGGAAAACGTCGCCGAGTACCGGGACAAACTTGTGTCTGAAGTCGAGTCTGCTTAACAAAGTCTCGGATTGGGGCCGACTAAATCTAGTCCAGTTCAATCCCCAGAAGACACAAGATTGCGCGTTTACCGCTAAAAAGAACCCCTTTGTCGTATCTCCTCAGTTTCAAGGCACTCCCCTTGCTGCCTCAGCCAGTATCGGAATCCTTGGCGTCGACATATCGAATAGCGTGCAGTTTCGTGGTCACTTGGAAGGGAAGGCCAAATTGGCCTCTAAAAAGCTTGGCGTGCTCAGCAGAGCGAGACAGTATTTCATGCCGGCATATCGCTTGCAACTTTACAAAGCGCAAGTTCGGCCCCACATGGAATACTGTTCTCATCTCTGGGGCGGGGCACCCCAGTGCCAGCTCCTTCCACTTGACCGCATCCAGCGCAGAGCGATTCGAATCGTCGACGACCGAGTTCTTTCCGATCGGCTCGATACACTGGCACTGCGTAGAGATGTTGCATCTCTTTGCGTATTTTATCGCATCTATCACGGGGAGTGCTCTGAGGAATTGTTCGGACTAATTCCAGCCGCTCAATTTCACCATCGCACGTCGCGACAAAACTCGCGTTACCATCCATACCATCTGGATGATTGGCGGTCCACCACTGTGCGATTTAGAAGAAGTTTTCTCCCTCGCACAAGTTCTTTGTGGAATCAATTACCACCAGCGAATTTTCCGAACCGATACGACTTAGGAACCTTCAAGAAAAGAGCTTACACCTTTCTAAAAGGCCGGCAACGCATCTGCAATTCCCCTGGTGTTGCGGTTGTTCATGGGCGGCGGTAGTCACTTACCATCAGGTGAGCCGCATGCTCGTTTGCCCCCTATTCTATAAAAAAAAAATGTTACAACTATAAGTTTCAATCAAACTTCATTCTTTCATAGCCTTTGTCCTTCCTCTTTCACACAGCAGGATACTAAGAAATATTATTAATAAAAATAAATTAAACAAAAAAAATAAAGTGAAATGCTATGTTCATAGTATATATACCTATTTAAAATTAATATAAAATATTAATATTTATATAAAAACGAAAAAAAAATTCCAAAGGACCCACATAATAACATTCCAGGCTCTGACAACCATGTTCTATAGTGAAATATGTTGTGCCAAAAATTATCCAGAGTAGACATTATAATTAAAACAATGTAAATTTTTTTTGTAGGATAAGGGTTATAAACGAGCACACAGTCCACTTGATGGTAAGTGGTTGCTGTGGCCCATAAACATCTACATCTATTCTCCATTACGAATCAAAATGCAGATGCGTTGTCACCCTTGAGGACTAAGATGGAATGCCTCCTTTCTAGTAAAAAGGGTCTCCAGTTCTCTACAATCATCATACGAAACATCATGCTATTTTACGCTGGTATTCTGTGAGAGCGTGGTCCTTCCACGGTCGAGCCTAACCATTCGTGTTACAACTATACTACTAATATAAAATAAAATAAAAAATCTTGCTTTTGTAGTCTGTTAAAAAATTTGTACTATTTGACAGGTATATGGATACAAATTGATACAAGTGGACGCAAAGAGTGGGGTACAGTACATTGTGGTACTAAATGATGAATGTAATTCTTTACATTCAAGTGTCTCCGACCCCCAACAACGAAGATTATTAAATGCGGCACTAACTCATATATATATGTCTGGTGGAACTGTAAAAGAAGGTTTGTAAGGCTTAAACATCTACAACTATATATCAGTTATCATATTACAGCTCTACAAAGAACGCCACAAAACTCGATGTTGAGCTAGATGCATTTCTCCATTCTTTACCAGGTAGTCACTCCATCTAGTGATGGGCCGCTGTACACTTCACGTCTACGCTATCGTTACTTACGAGGCTGCCACCTGGGAGCTTTTCTTTCGCATCACATGTCGGTTCTTCTACCTATATTATGGCCGGCCAATTGCCCTTTCAGCTTGCTTACTCCTAAAAGTTTTTGCAATTTTGCAAAATTACCATCTTGCCATTACTTTTAAAAGTAAAAAACTCAGTGCAAGTATAGCTTTAATTTGATAAGTTTTTCATATAAAGGCAAGCTTATTCTTTCCCATGGACACATGCAGTGGCCACAGAAGTGGTGAAAGATGTCTTACAGCTAATTTATTCAACTTACATATGAATATACTTATCATATTGATATACTATCTATGACTGCCTCTTGGTCTAGTATCGTAAAGACGATTGCTGATGAGGTCCTGAGTTTGAATCCCATGTGGCCAAAATCAGTTATTGGTTTTTTTCTGTCAAGAAATTCCCACTACCAGCCTGGGATCAGGAAGTTGACGGTGTTTCACCCCCGTGCCACTGAAAGTATGTAAAGTCCTGACATTTGGTATGTCAAAATTTATATGAAATTAAGTTAAATAAAACATGCATTGTGTATGTTCATACTGCTAATGTCAAACACATAATTGTTCTCCTGGATCCAGATCTTGGATGCGGCAGGCGCTCTTGGGTGATGCATATATTGATTTAAATGAAATCAATAATGAAAATCTTGCTTTCAATTGTATTTGCATATAATATAAAAACGTAAGGATGTAATAAAATTTCTATAATGAAGGATAAATGCAAAGAACTATTATGTAATGTTATATAATAATATTGTGTTTTGGACCGTTATGACCAATTGTGTTTGTCCATTCAAAATTCGAATTCTCGATAGGCCCGGGCTGTTTGTCACTGTTGCGTATCGATTTACGGTAGTACCTCACACACTTGTTTCAATTGAATCCTCTCCAAGTTTTTATAATGCAAAATAATGAATTGATCAACAGATGATATGTGGAAATTCCTTACTGAAGCGGGCTTGCTAGAAGAAAACGATTATGCTGGACGCAAACTATTAATGAACACGATGACAAGACAAATGTACTTACAATACAACAAGGTGAGTTATTTAAAAATAATTTATATAAAATTTATTTATTTATTTAAGAACTTTATTGTTTCGACCATAAAAGTTACAAAAGGCGGACTTAATGCCAGTCAACCCGTGGTAAAGTGGTGATAGAATCGTGGCAGGTGCCTTAAAAAACTAAATATAATAAACAGAAATACATATTTAACATATAATATGCTTATAAATTACACAAATACGTAATAATCCGTATATACCAATTATCTTTAACACACATTATATATACACATAAATGTATGATATATATAAATGAGTACTAATTGATGTTATACTTATATAGACGCCGTTGTTTTCGAAAGATGATCCCGTAAAATGTAAATGGGTAAAAAAATAAAGTAGGTAATCTAGAAATAATCTAGAAACTGGAATTGTGAGAAGATCTGTACTATCTTATATCATTCTGTGTGTGTCGTAAGAGGCGACTGAAGGGAATGAAACAGTGATAATAAAACAATAAAAAACTCAATAGAGGCTGAATGTTCAGCAGTAGACTTCTGTTAAGGAGTAATGAATGATTGAATGAATAGACTAGAAGGGAAAGACAAGTTTTATTTTATTTTATAGAAGAAGGGTGACAAACAAACTCAGTATAAATAGCGGCACGAAAGTCTAGCGGTGACTGTTATTGCGCATAAGTCGAAAATAAGGTATCATGGAGTAATAAGCTTGTCGCGGGACGGACGTGCGTATCGTTCGCACACGCTGATTTGCTCTCCAGTCGCATTCGTGCAAATCTATTTGTGCGCGACAGTACCCATGCGCAGCTATCCCATCCACGTTCCGTTCAGCGCTAGACTTACGTGCCGCGACTGGTACATGTGATAGTCAGTGGATACTGTGGCCCATAGACACCATCTGTCCTCAATTAAGAATCAAAATGGTTGGTTACAATAAGAACTAAGATGGAATGTCTTGTTACCAGTAAAACGGGTCTCAGGTTCCCGTCAATAACCATACAAAACAGCAGTATTAGGCAGCTTGATTAGCATATTGAAGATGACAAACTGTGATAGCTAATTTGAATGTCTAAACAACCATTTTGAATCCCAATCACCAGAACTAATGAAACGGACTTCATTTACGAATAACAACTCTCGGGTGCCAGATTTAACTTTGGTTACTTGCATACTTTGTTATTACCTCGGTTTTATTAATTAGCTTTCGTGTATGTCTGTTCGGGTTGAATTTATACGTGGTAGATCCACGCTGCAGGGGAAGGACCACGTCTCACAGAATACCAGCGTAAATAGCAGCTTAATGCAGCTCTGTTTCTTATGGTGCGTGTAAAGAACCAGAGATCCTTTTTACTGGAAATAAGTCATTCCAATGTAGTCCTCAGGGGTTATAACGCATCTGCATTTTTATTCTTAATCGAAGATGAATTAGATGTCTATGGGGCACAGCATCCACTTACAATCAGGTTGACTGTGTGCTCGTTTGTTAGTAATTAATATTAAAATAATTTCCCGATGAGCTTGAGACTTGAAATTTTGAATATAGCTCAGATTTGGATGATAATGTAAGGATATGAAAAATCAAAAAGATTTAATATTTAATTTTTAAAAATGCATGTGTTTATTTAAGGCATGATTATTTTAATTTCAGGTTGGAGATGGTGAATTAGCAAGAAACGTTTTCGAGTGGGGACAAAGGGCGATAGAAGAAGCACCTAAAATGTATCTTCTCAAGAAAATGGCCGAAGTATGTATTCTACCTCATATATACCAAACACGTGTCGGGTTGTACAGCTTGGTTTATTTTTTAAATAAAACTGAAGTGACATGCGAACTTACAGTCAGTACAAAGAAGGAGGTTCTCAATTCGACTGTCTCTTCGTGTGAACCGATTTTAATGATTCTTTTTTTTGATTAAATTAGTTATACTTTAGGGGTGGTCCCATATGAATCTGGGAAAAAATTTCAGCCCTAAAGGGTGGGAAAATATGGGACGAAGTTTTTAATGTAACTATTTAGGCGACATTCTAGTTTATGATATTCCTTAGTCACAAAAAAGATAGAAAAAAATTACCTTTTAATAAAAAGTAAAAGCTCAAACAAATAAAATGAATAAAATAATTTCAATTTACACATAAAAGCTTCAGAGGTCCCGGGTCGGGCCAAAATCAGTGATTAGGTTTTTCTGTAAAGATATTCTCAGTAGCAGGCCGGAGTTAGAAAGTTAGTGGTGTGTCGTGTCGTATTGCCGTCCCATCGGACTATCAAAGTGAGTGAAGAGACCTACACATGTGCTCGTGCACTGTAATCCTGTCCTTCGCCGATGGCCGCTGTGACCGAAATTCGGTTTTGGAGGACATCAGAGACATGCTTCTACTATACCATTTAAAATTGATACATTAACGCTACTATGTCTATCCAAATACAGATTCTGAGCATGACAGCTATCCATTTGCAAAGAGGTGTAAAACAGGGTCACGTTATATCCCTATAGGTTCATTACAAGATGTTTTCAAGCTACTCGATTAGAAAACAAGTACTATTAACATTTCTCACCTTCGATTTGCCGAATACGTATATAGAGTATGTTCCGATATACACTGTGACCACTGTAAGGTGTCATGTCAATTCAGTATACTGTGAAGTAGTTCCTTTTCTACAGACTTCAAAAAGGAGATGGTACTCAATTCGGCTGTATGTTTTTTTTTATGTATGAGGTAACAACCTCGTAATTTTTCTAGCTGAACTGATTTCGATGATTCTTTTTTATTTGAAAGCTGGTGCTTCTCATGTGGTCCCATATGTCCCAATTTGATCAAGGTCTGACCAATAGTTTTTAAGTTATTCTTAATAATTTATATTGAAGTCAGTTTTAATAATTTTTTTAATTTTAAATTATTAGTATTTGCTAGTAAACTGTCATCCCAATTTTTCGACACTGGTTTCAAATAAAAATATTTGTCATGTACACACACATGAATGTTGTTGCTTTTAAAACTTAAGGCGCAGGTTGAGCAAAATGTCGCGTTAGTCGTTATTTGTGCGGTTTTTAGGAGCTATCTACTTTTTATTTAAAAGATATATCAACAAATAAAAAACACATTATATTTCTACATAATCTTGATTCCATAAAAGCTATATCCAATTTTTTTTTAAAGGAATAAATATTAATATAATATCTATTTACAACGAAACCACATAAATGTGAAATTATTATTGATAACATGCATCTCCTCGTAAAGTAAGTATTATTTTATTTTGCGATTTACACCAATGGATAGGCAATTATTAATGAACATTTCTATAGTAATTTTTTTTTCAAAAGACCAAAATTTGATTTTATTAAGAAATTGTTTTAAAATCTGGGCATATTCACTGCTCACGGGCTTGCTGAAGTCAGTGAGCGCTGATCTCTTCGACGTGAAGCCCGTGTCGTTATAGCGTCGACCAGCGCATATCCTCACGTCATATCAGTCGATAATATTATTACTTATTATTAGGTTATTTATAGGTAGTGTTATTTGTTTGTTTTGGGTATAATTTTTCGTATTAGTTATACATATATTTGTTGTGTTTTTTACTGCGCGATGAAGCTTTTTGCGTGTATTTTCTTTGAAGTAAATGCAAATAAAAAAATGAAGCACCATTAGCATGTAAGGTTCGAATCCATAATTAAAATTTCGACAAATATTATAATTTACACTATAAAAGGCTAATTCAATATTATCACCCAACCACAATATCTTATTAGGTATAGTACTGCCTCGTTGGTCTAGTGGTTGTAGTAGTGCGACTGCTGAGCATGAGGTCCCGGGTTCGAATCCTGGGTCGGGCCAAAAAGTCAGTTATGAGTTTTTCATTTATGTTCTAAGTTATAATTAGTATTACTAAGTTATAGTTTTTTGCTAAAATATACTATATTATTTATTGCTTGTTTTTTCTTCTTTTTCAAAAAATAATTGAGTACATAAGGTGTTCTATACTTATAATTCGGTAAAAAGTATCTAAGTAGGTACTAATATACCTACTTTTTACTATAAACTAAAAATTTTAAAACTAAATTTAACTAAAAAGACTAAACTGACCATTTATTTTTTAACTCAAAACAGGACATGGGTTTATTTATACTCTAAAAACTATAACTTTATACAATTAGTGTTCACTATAAAATTATATTCGGTATAGACGGTAATTATTAAATGCAACATATTTTTTTAAATTATTAATTACATTTGTCAGTGGATTAAATTTGCTTTAATAAAGTTGGTGATGATTTTAAAGAAGAATAAAATTCTGCTCAAGTTTTTTTATTGTTATCTTTGTTAACAACATCGCCTTTAGAGCTCTGGAACCGTAAGTGTTTCTTTCAGACGTCCACAATTTATTCAAAATAAAAAAATACTATTTCTACCGGAGCATTCGTACCAGGTAGACATAAAATATATTCGATTAAAAAAAATTATGTTGAAGATTGTTGACTTTGAATACTTCCATCCAACGAGTTACGGGACAATTTTGTGTCCCGGAGCTTTGTTTGGGGACAATGGGACAGGTGACCGAGAAAAGGGACAGGTGACCGAGAAAAGGGACAGGTGACCGAGAAAAGGGACAGTCCCATTCAAAACGGGACGTATGGTCACATTAGCTATAACCTGGCGACGGCTCCGTGGCGCAGTGGCTTAGCAATCAGTTGTTGCGCTGGGGGCCGCGGGTTCGAATCTCGCACGGAACAAGTATTTGTATGGCCTACAAATAATTGTTCCGGGTCTGGATGTTTGTCCTTGTGCAATTTATGTAAGGAGGGATGTTTCGACTGTGGTAGCGACGCAACAACCTATTATATATGGTTCCCGTACGTATGGGTCGGCACGACCGGGGAAAGCCTGTGCCGGTACATAATACCATATATATGCAGAGCTATATATTAATTAATAATAATAACAATCATTCGTGGAAGCTGTTAAATTTCTAGGCGCTGTTATGTTTTTTTTTATCAATATCGTGTGTTTTATATTTTTTTCTATTCTTTTCAGGCATTTGATAAGAGCCCTGGTCATTGGTGCGAACAGTACAAAGAAGCCACAGAAGGCACCTAGCAGTTATGATTGAAATATATAATATTTAATAATATTATATTATTTAACTTTTTCTTATTTCTTATCCTCCATTCCGTAACGAACGCATAATTGCCAGAGTAGGTAATCATGTGTAAACAGATAACTAGAAAGTAAAAAATAAAAAACACTATAAGGATAAGAGCTAAGGCAAGATTACGCTAAGGTACATTATTTAGGCCTCATAACACAACATGAAGCTATATATATAAAATATAAAACACGTAACATAACACAACAAACAGAAATACATAAAATAAAAGCAAAAACATACGAGTAATGTGTTATTACAACATTGTAGCCAAATAAAATTATCTATGTTGCAGTATGAGACCGCGGATAGATGTTACTATTGGAAAGTCCATTTTCCTTAACAACAATGTTATTCCATGCTCTTGTCAGGAATATTAAATTTTGGGATTTTCATGTTCGCTTGATATTCGTCAATGCAACGAAACGGAATTTTGCATAGAGTAGGATTTTATAAGCAATGCGGGGCTTTTTGCGAGACTAAAATACGCATTTACAACCCGCGTTCACAAATACTATTATGGGACAGTCCTAGATAATCTGGGAGAGTCAGACACCTGTCATTATAATTATTTTTTTAATCTGTGTACAATAACTATATTTATACCGAAAAACGAAACCAGTGCCTGTTGTCACTTATGTTATATGGATCTGAGACGTGGTCATGCAATGCTGATCTTATGAGGAAGCTCGAGTTCGTTCAGAGAACTATGGAAAGGGCTATGCTTAAAGGTTTACTGCGTGTTGGACTTCGCAATGAGGATATCCGCAGTAGAATAAAGGAAAATCAGAGTAATCGACATTGCCAGTAGTAAGCTGAAGTGGCAATGCGTCGGCCATATAGCTCGAAGAACCGACAAAGGGACGAAAAGTTCTCGTGGACTCCCCACTATATGGAGTTATGACCTGGTAAAAGATGCAGGAAGTCGATGGATTGACGCCGAGGCTTAGGGCCGTAACTTTGCCGTTGGCGTGCAATTTTGCCATGAAGTAATAAATAACGATAATATAAATCATATCCGGTAAATTAAGGTACGAAGCAACGCTAATTGATTAGACATCATCAAGTCTTATTAAATTTATCAAATAGGTTTTTAGACGTAGTTGTTACTGATACTGCGATCAAACTTCATCTTAACTTCAATTATTCAATATTTTCACATCACACAGTAAAAAATAAGATAGCTACAATAATTAAAGCTACACAATAATAAACAACACAAAACAATTTAGAAACAGCATGGTAGATTACCTCATTCCCAGGGTTTAGTTTAGTTGTAGTCACACTGCAGCAATATTATGGTTGCAGCACGAAGGGGTCGCCTCAACCGGGGTAGGACCACGCTCTAACAGAATACCAGCGTAAACCGTTAAATAGTAGCTTAATGCTGCTGTGTATCGTATGGTGAGTGTAGAGAACCGGAGACCCTTTTTACTCGAAACGAGGAATTCCATCTTAGTCGTCAGGGGTGGCATCGCATCTACATTTTTACTCTCAGTTGAGAATAAATGTAGATGTCTATGAGCCACAGCATACACTTACTGTCAGGTGGACTGTTTGTTCGTTTGTCACCCTATACTATAAAAAATATCATCCCGTGAGTGTCGTAAGAGGCGACAGAGGAAAACAAATCAGGAGATGATCCTCTTTTATATCATGACAAGCTGTATAATTATTTATTTACATATTTATTTAGAAAACCAACAGCGTATATAGTAAATATTAACATTAATGTAACAAACTAAAGGTATGGCCAATAACAGGTTTCCCTTATATTGCTTGATGGTAGGTATATTGTTCTTCTTCTTCTTCTTTTCCCTGGCTATTGTCCCAATTTAATTGGGGTCAGCCCTCCTAGTAATCTTGCGCCACATCGTGCGATTGTGGGTAGTCGTTTCTGGCATGTTAGTAGATTTCAGGTCGTTTTTTATTGTTTGCAGCCAGGTTATTGGTGGTCGTCTTCGGCCTTTCTTCCCCTCTTCTATGTTCATAACTTTTTTAGTAACATGGCTATCATCTCGTCTCATCACGTGTCCGTACCAACGCATACGGTTTTCTCTAAGCTTCTCGTGCACCATAGCAACCTTGAAACTACCACGGATATAACAGTTTCTTATTCTATCCATTTTAGAAACTCCTCCTAACCAACGTAACATTTTCATTTCAGTGACGTGAAGTTTTTGTTCGTCCGTCTTTCTCATCGACCAGCACTCCGATCCATATAGCAGAGCTGGTCTTACTGCTCTTTTGTATATATTGCCCTTTATTTTAATAGGCATACGGGAGTCGCATAGTACACCAGACAGCGATCTCCATTTTAACCAAGCTGTTTGGGTTCTGTTTTGTATATCTCAAGAGTTTAAGTATCTCGGATCCATTGTAGCACCAAAGGCATGTACAGAAAACATGCCTTTGGTGCTACAATGGATCCGAGATACTTAAACTCTTGAACTCTTTTAAGAGGTCGACCTTCGATAGATGGACATGGAGTAACATCCATTTTGACACCAGAAAAGTTACAGTACATGTATACAGTCTTCTCTCTATTCACTCTCATCCCTCTTCTTTCTAAGGACTCCTGCCATAGTGTCAGGTCTGATTGTACTTCTGTCAACGATTCGGCTATGAGTACTACATCATCAGCGTATAGAAGTGACCACGGTGCTGATTTCTGAATGTCCATAGTGATATAGTCCATTACTAGGTTGAATAGGAGAGGGCTAACGGTTGAGCCCTGGTGAACCCCCACTCCGACTTCAAATGGTTCACTTTTCCCTGCTGGGCCGACCACTTTTGTTGTTACGTCGTGGTACAGATCTTTGAGGAGCTCAATATAATGTTCCTGCACCAACTGCGCTCTTAGTGCTTGCCAGATTAGCTCTCTAGGAACTCGGTCAAACGCCTTTTCGAGATCAATGAAAATAAGGTGAAGATCTTGTTTGCGTGACTTGTACTTTTCCATGAGTATTTTCACTGAGTGAATTGCATCTATAGTGCCCACTCCACTAGTGAATCCACACTGGTTTGGTGTAATTTTTGTAATTTTTGATAGTCTTTTTACGAGGACACATTCCTAGATCTTAAGGGTCTGAGAAGTTAGTTTGATTGCTCTATAATTTCCACAGTCCGCGACATCCCCTTTATTCTTGTAGAAGGGTATCAAATTGTTGTTTCTCCACATATCTGGTATTTTGGTGCTTATAAGAATTATGTTAAATAGGTTTGTCAGCCATGCTACGCCAGTATTGCCCACCTTTTTCCATAGTTCAGCTGGAATCTCATCCGGTCCGGCTGCTCTCCTATTTTCCATTTTTTGGATGGCTGCTTTTACTTCCTGAGGTGAAATTACTTCAACTGGTCCTTCCGTGGGTCTGAGGAGTGTGAGTGGTTCCTGTGGAAATTTTTCGTTCAATAGTGTTTGGTAGTATTCTCGCCACCTGTGATTAATTTCTTTGTCTGTGGTTAACAATTTACCCGATGAGTCCTTGATATATTTGTTGCGTTTGATATCTTTTGTTTGGTTATTTCGGCGTTTTGCTAATTTAAATATTTCCGTCTCGGATTTTGCGTTTTCTAATTCTTTGTAAAAGTGATCTTTGGATAATGCTCTAGTTACTGCAACACATTTTTTAGCTCTCTTTTTTATTATATTGTAGTCCAGTCGATCGCTGTCATTTTTTGATTGTTGCCATTTCTTGAAAGATTCTGTCTTTTCCCACAACATCAATTTAAATTTTCATCCCACCAGGTAGGATCTTTATTAATCCTCAATTTTCCTTTCGTAATACCTAGGGTTGTTCTGGCGGTTTTTAGGCAGAACATGTGAAATTCGTTCCATAGAGTGTTGCTATCTTTTGTGTGTAGAAGTGTCTCTTTCAAGTATGTATCAACCTGTGCAGTAAATATAGTGCCCTCAGCGTTGTGTATGTTATACCATTTTATGCGGGGTTCATGTTGTTGATATTTCTCTTTTACATTCCAGTTTGGCATTTTCAAACAGGTTACAAGTAGTCTGTGTTGGGTTGTTAGTGGGATCCCTGGTATAACTTTGCAGTCCTTGAAATTGCGAAGAATAGATCTGTCACAGAGAAAAAAGTCTATTTGTGAGGTCGATCCACCACTTTTGTAGGTTATGAGGTGTTCATCTTTTTTTTGGAAGTAAGTGTTAACGATCGGGAGATCAAATTGGGTCGCTAAATCTATTATATCCTGACCTTGGCTATTAGAGATGCCATATCCAAAATTTCCATGTATGTTTGAGTTTTCAGGTGCTTTCATACCTACATGGCCATTCAAATCCCCTGCTATAATTTTTTTCTCGTGTGAAGGTATGGTTACGAAAAGGTCTTCTAAGTTTCCCCAGAACAGATCTTTTTCTTCATTATTACATCCAACTTGAGGGGCATATACTGAGATTATGTTTAGCGTTAATAAGTTGTCCAGAGCTAATTTAACGTACATGATTCTATCGCTTATTCTTTCTACTTTGATTATTCGTTGTTGCAGTATTTCGTCGAGTATGATGCCGATTCCGTTCCTTGTCGTTGATGTGCCGTTATACAGTAGTTGATAGTTTCTACCAATATCCCTGGATTTTGACCCTTTCCATTTAAGTTCTTGTATACAGCAGATATTAATATTTCGTGCATGCAATATGTTTGATAGTTCTTGGCTACGTCCAGTCAGGGAACCGATGTTCCATGTAGCTATACGCAAATTATTTGCGCTGCGTCTTTTTTCGTCGCTTACAGGGGACGCCTTAGCATTTTTCGCTTGGGATCGTATCTGGTCGTCGCTTGAGGGGTACGCCCTAGCCCTTATACTTTCTCTTTTATGTTGTGCTTTCATACTAGGAGAATGTTTTGTTTTGGCATTGTATTTTTACAGCCGGTTGCCACCTGACGCCAAGACTGTCACCCCCTTCCAGGGTGAGGGCGCCGCCGTTGACTCGTCATGAGCTCCTCCGCCGCCGTCCCTTCTGTAGTGCTCCAGCCTAAGCACTCAGCACTGCTCACGACCTTAACTCCAAATATGTTAAAGCAGCTCGTAGCAGGGGTTTGATAACGGAGTTTCCTTCTCCGGCCTGTTGGTCCGCGGGAGGTATTTTATTTCCCTCCTACCCGGCTGTGTCGCCGAGCGTTCCCCTATCCGCCGCCTGGGGACGCGCTCTCTAGGTGTGAGGCTCACCCGAGAGATAGGTATATTGTTGTTGGAAGAAAATGATAGAAGAACAATCTAATAGATAAATTATAAGCAATTCATTGTAATGAAAGTGGTCATAATTTTACAGATCAGGAGAGAGAGTCAGGTAGAATATATAATAATATAATATAACTATACTATTATTATATATTAATAAATATAATTTATAATTATTATCTTCTTCTGTCGACATGAGCTAGCACCAAAGGGTATGCTTATGCCATAGTCAAAATATTAGCGAGTCAACAAAGGTGATATCAAGACAAGACTGCTCCAAGTGCGATTGACAAACTGGTTTCGTTCTTTGACGACGCTCTTTCCTTGCAGAATTCCTGTGTAGCAGTATACTTTATTCAAAAATAATTTTTACCCATTTCTAAAAATACAAATCAAAATGAGTAGGCAATTTGTAAAGTTAATGTAGTCGGCAAATCTCCTTCATATTAAACAATTTCTTTGGTCAAAACATAACACTGATTTCCATGCCAACAACATTACGGCGAAGGGAATTCTTTCGTAAATAGTATGGAGTGTAGAATAGAAGGAGAACCATCTTATAAGGTGCGAAAGTTGAAAAAGTGTCCCACTGTATACTGAAAATAGAGGTTCCAAAACCTACCACAATAGCGTTGGCGTCTGAAAAACTACGATATGAATATAGTTGTTGCAGACTAGGGATATTCGATATACATCGATACATCGAATTCACTCGATGTTTACAATACGATGCATCGAATCGATCCGATGTTTTAGAAAGTTATTGATATACTCGATGTATCGATGTATTTTCATAAAACATCGAATCAATGATAACCAGTCAATTGTAAGAAGGTATACTTGTCTATCACTATTAATATTATAACTTCTAAATCAGAAAAACTAAAACATGCTCTGATTTAGAAGTTATAATATTATACCTGTTGGTGGCGCTAGTTGGCACCTGTCAGTACCTTAGTGGAATCAAGAAATTGAGATTGGCGTATTGTGTGTTAAAGAGAATTTAAAGAAAATCGTCTGGCCTGTCTCGGTCTTAAGGCGGCTACTCACTTGCGTGCCGCAGGGGCAATCTAGGATGAACAGCGATCGGGGAAATATCAGAACTTTTTCTACACACATGCCTGCTGTTCAGTGTGAGAGTATACGTCTTGCTGGACACACGCGTTGAGAATGGCGCCAGTTTTATCAAAATATTAATGAATCGGTATATATAGCCTTGGCTCTTTTTTATATACAATAAGGGTGACAAATGAGCACAGTCCACCTGATGTTAAGTGGATACTGTAACCCATAGACACCCATATTTATGGATAAAACAACTAATTAATTAATAATTACAACCATAACGTAGTCCTTAAAAGCTGCAGCATGGCTTGGCATTAGTAGTATAGTTGTAGCACGAATGGGTCAGCTCGACAGGGGAAGGCCCACGCTCTCACAGAATACCAGCGTAAAATAATAGCACCTTAACACTGCTGTGTTTCGTATGGTGAGTGTAGAGAACCAGAGACCCGCTTTACTGGAAAAGAGGCATTCCATCTTAGTTCTCAAGGGCGAAAACGCATCTGCATTTTGATTATTTATCGAGGATAGATGTAGATGTCTATGAGTCACAGCAAACACTTATCGTCAGGTGGACTGTGCGCTCGTTTGTCACCCTATCCTGTAAAAAAAACACATCACAATTAAGGAGGCAATTAAGGGTCATCCCCATTCCTACACCCTAGTTGCTCATTTAACCCAATGGACTCACCTCACATGATTATTCCCCTCTGCCAAGGTATTGAATTTAAAAGCTAGTGCGTTTATAAAAACTGTTTACACGAAACCGATTTTATCATTACAAGAATCGTTTCCGCCGAAGTAGGTGTACTTTGAAAAATGCCGATCGGTGCGGTTAACGTATGCATAAAGCAGTCAAAATACTTAAAATTTACAAAAAGATGGAGTTATATTCCATATGTAAGTATTTTTATTGTGATGCATGCTTTTTCATTTAAAATAATATCATAAACATTGACCTACTACTAAATGGACCTCGGCTCTGCGCTTAAGTGTCAGAGTCAAAAGAGTTCCAAAATGCAAAAAGAGTTCCAATATTGCGCGCCAGTCTTCGTTTTGTCGTCCGATAATACACTCCAAAATGCTGTACTGAATCACAAAATGAGCGAAACTATTTATATTTGTATATATTTTCGATATTTTGCTTAGATACAAGATACGTAGTATTTAAATTAAATTCACATTAATTGTAAAAACAAAAAATCATACCGATTATTTTCGCTAGAAGCTGCATAAGATGAACAGCCTCTGGTTGAAGTTGAACGGCTGATAAATTGTCACAAATAAAATTAAATATATAATATAGGTTGAGGGGACACATTTTTCGTGAATTTTGTTCTAAACCCGCCGTCCATTTAGTAGTAGGTCAATGATCATAAATAATAATTTATTTATTATTTATTGCATTCCTTAATATAAAAGAATACAAAGGGCGGACTTAATGCCTTGAGTCATTCTCTACCAGTCAACCCATGGAGTGATGAGAATTTGACGTGGTGTAGCGGTATAGAATAAAAACAAAATAAAAAATAAATAACTAATTGAAAATAATTGACTGGGAGAGAATGCCTTAAGACATTAAGTCCGCCGTATGCACGATTTTTCTTTTGTGTATTAAAGTTTAAATAAATAAATATAAATAACTATGAAAATATACGTCTGTTAACAATATATTAGTTCTTAAGATTAACACACTTTGTG